CCCAGGGGACGGCCAAGAATAACCTAGTGCAAATATATGGAAGGAGTGTGTTCCAGACTCAAGTTGTCTTTTGCCGAAGCTCAGACTCTGGCACAGGGTCGGGAACGTTGGAAGCTCTGTCTGACGTGTCTGCCTCCGCGACCCGAAAGGAGAAGCGGCGATGGAAGATGAAGACGAACTTTTGACTCAAACACAGTTGTTCTAGACGAAACGGACACACAAAATTGCAGGTCATGAAGGAGGGAAGGAACCAATCAGGAGCAACCTGTCAGATATTTAATAACAACATGATATAAATCTTTTCATTGGAAGATTTGCGAATTTTCGAAACTTTCTCACGAGTACTGTAGATGTAGCCTTTTCAGGTTTATATTTACGGTTCATATGCTTAATTAATCAAGACAAAATTGGATACGTTAAACGTGGATCATGATAAGGATGGAATGAACCAGCAAGCAGCAGCTACCAACTTATTTTGCACAAAAACAACGACGATTAAGTCGGAAAAATTTTAGTTATGGCAAACTTTTTTAGAAGTTTCTACTACACTGATGAGTAACAATACCATATCCTGCAATGTGCATTTGCAGCAATCAGTATACCTAGAACTGCAAGACTGAATCATGCTGACGCTCGAAACTTTGGTCCGAAAGGTAAAAGAAATATCTACTTCTCTGTGTCACATAATCAGAAAATACGGTCATCGTCATAACAACATTGAGATGCTAGTTTGGTACAGAGCACGGAATGGACAAAGAAAGCAATGCATCAACTGCGACATGATCCGATCTAGAAAAGTTACAAGGAAGCACATCAGCAACTCTCATGAATGCATCGCGGGGAGGCTGTTTTTGTAAAACGGATTTCAGTACTCTACTATGCACAGATGAAATAATAAAACAAAAATGGTTCCTACCAATGATATTCTTGATTTACAAGCAAAGGCTCCTTTCTCATATCACAGGTCGATGTAGCATACACTTGTAGTTTCCCTGGATTGGTCAGGTTAATCGCGCAGTAATCTGGTTTTCCATATACGCATTGAAGGACGTGATAATACAATGCAACCAAAGCCTGTCTACATGAACACCTAAGCCGTTACAAGGAAACAAACAGTGTGATAACGGTGTATAGTTAGGAGAAACGCATAATAAATGCTCCAAACAGAATTTTGACCAGTAACAAGAAACACTAAATTTTTCGAACCTCTGGGTCATGATTTTCGGCAGTTACTGTGCAAAGAACATGACATCTCTGCAAAATCTAACAATTGCGGGGGTGGGGAGGCCTCAACTTCGTAAAAAATACGGGATGAACATCACCGAATGTGGAACACGTCATCATTCAATATGCCAATTTCCATGACAGCTTTCGGGTCGCGCAGGCAGACGCGTCACACAACGTCCCCAATGATCGCGGTTATGTACGAGAGGTTAAGCTTCAGCAAAACAAGGCCTTAGTCTCGAGTACAAATCATCGTCACAGCTGCCCCAGATAACTCTTAACCGTTACCGGGGTCTTCGGCCCATCGACTGGGCAAGTAGTAGCTGTTTCTACAATCTTTCTGGAGATGTTCAAAACACGTGCCCAGATCATCGCAATCGCAGCTCTGTCATCTCAAAATGAAAAAGCAGCGGCTGCATACAAAGGCTCTATCCGATATCCATACTCCAGGCCATAACGAAACGCGTAAGGCAAGTGATTCGTCTCAATACGCTTATTCTAGCACCTTGTATTCGGAACTGGCTTTTCACAGTCATGGTCCATGACCGTAGGTAAGCATCAAATTAAAAATCGACTTGAAAACTGAAAGCTTCCACTTCAAACTCAGCGATGAATTAGTCACAACGGGTGGGGTTAGTACACGCAAAACGCCACTGGCTACTTCAATTCACCGGTCAATTTCTTCCTCAAATTTTCCATCACTAGTGAACACGATCCGGGTGTACTTGAAATTCTTCACCTGCTTCACTGCCTCCCTAAAATCTGAACAGAGCAACGAGCAGGAGAATGAGAAACAACCAGGCTTTTCGTTTTAGATGCGTTCACACCAATGCCGGTCACGTTGCACTAGGCTGTGAACGATTCCACGGGCCACTGTATAACAGTTTCAGAATATGCCAATAAAACAACGTCGTCTGCAAACTGCAATCTTCCCTTCTCCACATCTTCTACACCGATAGACTCATCGCCATGGCTGTTCCTGACTTTCATGTACGACACAAATAGGAGGAGAGATGACGCAGCTTTGGCGGAGATCAGTGCCAATGTTGAAAGACTTCGACTTAACGCCATTTACTCTGACGCAGCACCTGCTATCGGAACACAGTGACAGGAGCCCGAAACGGCAGGCAATCTATCTCGCATGATCGCAGGCATGAGCACAGACTGTTGCGCGGGATTCGGTCACAGCCGTTGTCTGGCTCATCAAAGCAAACGTACATCGGACTGGCTAACCCCGACGATTTCTCAGCTATCTCGCGCAGGGCAAATATATCGTCAGAGGTGTTTCGACCGGACCGGAAGCCATACTTTTCTTGTTCTATATTGGAGTCAGTTATTCCGCGGCACCTCCTTTCTAACACCTTTGCGTAGACTTTACATGGGAGGCACAACAACGTAATGCCCCTAAAACTGGAGCACTCTCTGTAGTCTCCCTTCTTGAACAGAGGTACAACAACTCCCGTTCACCTGTACGCTAGTAGTTATCGCAGTTTCACAGACAAGGGCAAGCCAGCACATGTCTTGTTCGCCTAATGGCTCGAGCATTTCAGGGCGGATTTCATCAGTTTCAGCAGCCTTTCCATTTTCAAGCTTTTCACAGCATGTGTAATTTCATTTAGAGAGATAGTAATATCCTTTCCCTGTTGCTCTACAGGCGAGTCTTTGTGCGGTTGCTCAAAGTACTCTCTCCATCGCCGAAGAAGGTACTTCTCCTTGGTAAGAGGGTGTCCAGACCTGTTTGCCGTGTGGAAATTAGACTCCAAAATCTCACCGAATTTCTCCAAGGAATCAGGTTTTGCTTTCGCCACTGCGTTCGCTGACGCCTTGGTACCTCGACATATCGCACAGAGTAGAAGCCTCTTTGTTTCTAAGCCATTTCTTGAACGCCGCCGCCGGTTGTACCTTTCATGTCCACGAGGAAGATCTTTTCTGAACCTCCAGGCGGCAGGCCAACCCGTTTAAATCCGCAGCATTCGGCGATAGCCTCAAGTATGCCGCTCTTAATGAACTGCCACTCGGTTTCAACATCACAAGGATCTGTTCAAAGCATTGTGCAATGTTGTTAGGAATTTTGCTCTCGTGTCCACCGAAGATAATGTTTCCCACTTGATTCGCTGGTTGCTTCTGCCACCAGATCTTCGTACATTTCTTACAACGTAGCGTGCCAACAACAAGGTGGTGATCAGTTGATGGCTTTGCGCCTCATTTAACACGAACATTTATTAAAGAGTTTTGAGTGACACTGTACGGTTATGAAATCGATCATCGACTTCTGTGCACAAGTTTCCCTGTACAAGGTATATTGATGCTTTCTTCGATGCTCGGAGGTGTTCAAAATGGACAGTCCGTTGTTTGCACAAAACCGCAGCAAATTCATGCAACTATTGTTGAGGCCGCTAGGGCCGTTCTCTCCAATCACACCATTTCACTTTTCAGCATCTACTCCGACATATACATTAAAATCGCCAATGGGTGTGAGGGAATCTGTATTCGGCACTTCGAACAGGGCACATTCCACTTCTGCAGGGAAGAATCATATTCTCCCCCTATGCTGGGCGCAGACACCTGTACTAAGATCAACGCTTCAGCCTGTTATAGCTTCAATCGGAGGATTACCACCCATCCGTTAACAGGCTTCCCAATTTTATCTGCGTGGTTGAGTTCTACCAGAACACCAATACCGGTGTGAGAGCGCGT